TCCTTGCCCTTGTTGTTCAGGGGCTTGTCGAACTTGGCCGACAGAGCGTAGAAGCGCGCGTCCTCGCTCGTCTTGATGGCCTTGTCGCCCTCCTCCACGTAGTGCTTGCCCACCACCTGCTCGAACTTGCCCACCTCGGCCGCGGGCTTCCACGTCGAGGCCACCCAGCGGCTCTCCCAGTCGGCGTCGTCAAACGTCTCGCGGAAGATCGTCTCGGCCTGGGCCACAGTCGCGGCCACAGCGGCCATAGCCACCACCAGCTTGGTCAGCATTGTACAGATTTGAAGAGTGTTGGTCGGTTCGTTCGTGCTTGGAGAGCGCAAATTCTCGAATGCCCTCGACGGAATGAAGGCCTTCAAGTCGGTTGGGTCGGATCGCCACGTGTACGTCGAAGCGCGCTAAGTACGAAGCCACGTGGACTTTAGACTGTTCTAGATTGGAATAAGCAACGGATGAGTAAAATATGATATCCAAGGGTATAAAAGAATAGAATGTATATCTAATTTGTTTCAAATGTTGGATTTGAATTGAATATCATTAAATGACGAAAATTAGATTCTACAAGTCGCGATTTAACGACGGACACTGTATTTGGTAATCATTGCAGCCACGTGGCTGCTTTACACAATATCTACACAACTTCAACAATTTGACCAACACTCCTCCAACGTGATCCGTCTTAACACGATTTGTCGGTCCGCCCCTGTGTATGCGTTTTCATAGTTATTAACTCATTTATCTTGCTAATTCTCCAGTCGTCGGTTTGGATGATGTGGTAGGCTTCAACATTTTTCTCTAAACAAATCTATCATTATGAAGTTCATCGGTATCCCGTCTCACTTGTCGGCATTATAGTAAGTCCTTGTTTTGTTATAAATTTCATTAACTCGCGCGAGACTTAGGGGCTAGAGTTGCAAAAGGAGGTCGTATGAGTTCAGACGAGATGTCGGGAACAGCATTTAATACGCCAATAGCATGATGATTTTGTGCTGTCGATACCTCGGCCGGGGTGCTAAGTGTCATGAAAGTGATAAAAAGTTTTTATTAAAAACGTAAGTTCTCACGAACGCAAGAGTGGTTTCTATGTATTGGTCCAATTCGAAATGAGGAGTTCGGTATGACTTGATGCGAAACTTGCACTTTGGAAAAGTTGATAAGTTGATACGTTTTGATGCATAAAACTTCGGCACAGCTGTGGCAACTCGCTCACTGAGTACCACGTTTGGAAGCCTTTCAACTGGCTAGCCTCGGTGGCGAGCAGAGTGACCTCCTTCTGGAAAGGGGGCTAGGCCAGCTGCGGACTGTAGCGCATAGAGACCGACGGCAACCTCACACGCAAGTCCGAAGAACGCGACTACTTATCTGTCTAGAATTGCTTTCGCATGAACCAATCAAGTCACTGCGCAGGGCGGGGAGCCACAACCAGCTACCGGAGCCATCAAGGTCACCGGCGTTGCCAACCTGGCTTAACTCTCTCTCTCTCTCTCTGAATTGGTGCATTTTATAAAAAAAAATCAATCTATCATTTCTTCTTTATCGATTTATTATAAAACTTATTTTTAATTCCACTTTTCTAAAAAAAAAAATGAAAAACTTTTTTCACTCGTTTAAGTACGAATTCACTACACTTAAGTACGAAAAAGCGGATTTTGACTGACCTTAAGTCTTAAAAATTACGAGTGATCCAAGGCCCTACATAGCACCACTATTCTTTAAAAAAATTGTCATCTATATGTATGCAGCGCAGCGAAACCGAGTCGCAAAATTATGGCGGACGGGCCGAAAAGTGTCGGTTTTTTCGCCAGATTAAAAAAGAAATCACATGTTAAAGTTTATTTAATTTGTGTGGAAAACAACGTGTTGGAATACATTGATTCATGTTTAGATGAGTCACCGCTCAGAATCGTCATGACAACGCGCATGCATTTTGCTCAATCATTTACACAGCGCGAAACCAAACGGTTTCCTCTCTAAACATTTAACATGAAGACAGTAATTTGCAATCTTATATTATAACGATTAAGCTATGAATCTAGCTCTTCTCATGAACGAGCTTATGATCAGACACCGATTCGGTAAGACCTCCGGAAACCTCGCCTGTTTGCAAGAGATGTGTCGTGTGTACTAATACAACCTGTTCGTTGTAGCAAGAAGATCTCTTTCATCTTTTCTTCATTCTTCGCGTTGTTTACATTGATCTAGCGCAATAATAAACATGATAACAACAAGTAAGGAAAGATGCACAAGAGCCACGTATATAACCTTTGCATTCGCGCTAAGCACTCTGCCGCACTACGCGCTAGTTTCCTCCATACTCCGTCACCTCAGTTCTACTAGACAAGCGTCTCTTTTGTCTTAAAAGTTGATGGGCTTGTCAAACGCGCCCAGACACGCCTCCTTGAACGCCTCGCTCAGCGTCGGGTGGGCGTGGCACGTACGCGCCAGATCCTCGCTAGCAGCGCCGTACTCAATACCGATCACACCCTCAGCGATCATCTCACCGGCGTTGCTGGCGATGATGTGCACTCCAAGCAGCTTGTCCGTCTTCTTGTCCGCCAGCACCTTCACCAGACCGTCCGACTCAGCCACAGTACGAGCACGCGAGTTGGCCATCATGGGGAATTTGCCCACGTTGTACTCGATTCCCTCAGCCTTGAGCTCCTCCTCCGTCTTGCCCACCGACGCGAACTCCGGGAACGTGTAGATGACACCAGGGACGGCGCCGTAGTTAACGTGGCCATGCTTGCCGGCAATGTTCTCCACACAGGCGATACCTTCCTCCTCGGCCTTGTGAGCCAACATGGCGCCCTTGATCACATCGCCAATGGCAAAGATACCGGGCACCTGAGTACGGAAGGCGTCGTCCACCTCAATGCGGCCGAGCTTGTCGGTCTGGATGCCCATTTGCTCCAGACCGAGGCCGGCAGTGAAGGCGCGACGGCCAGTGGCCACCAGCACCGTGTCGCACTCAATAGTAGACGCGTCACCGCCCTTAGAAGGCTCCGTGGTGAGCTTGACGACGTCTCCGTTAACTTCGGAAGACGTCACCTTGGTACCGAACTTAAAGTCCAGTCCCTGCTTCTTCAGCAGCTTGGTAAACTCCTTGACAGCCTCCTTGTCCATACCGGGGCAAGCAGCGTCCAGGAACTCGACCACTGTGACCTTAGCGCCCAGACGCTTGTACACAGAGCCGAGTTCCAGTCCAATGACACCTGCTCCGACCACCACGAGGTGCTCCGGGACGCGCTTAAGCTCCAGAGCACCCGTGGAGTCGATGATCTTGCCAGCAGCATTGTCCACGGGAACGGGGGGGAGCGGAGTCACCTCGGAACCCGTAGCAATGATGATGTTCTTGGCCTTAACCGTCTCGTTGCCCTTGTTGTCGTTAAGAGCAACGGACACCTCGCCCTGAGCCGAGATCTTACCGTGTCCCTTAATGTACGTGACCTTGTTCTTCTTGAACAGCGACTCAATGCCGCCAGTCAGCGTCTTAACGGCCTTTTCCTTGGCCTTCATCATCTGCGGGAAGTTGGCCTTAACTTCGGGAGCGTCAATGCCGTAGCTCTTGAAGTCGTGCTGAGCCGTGTGCAGCAGGTGCGTCGAGTGCAGAAGCGCCTTGGACG